GGTCGAACTTGTGCCCAAAACCAAAAGGGAACAGAAGAAAACAGCAGAGCGTCGCGGGTGTTGATGTCGGCGAGACCGCAGGATCGAGCGCTGGCGCGAGACTGGCTCCGGCTTGCCACGCGGAGCCCCTTTTGTACACGCGTGGGCTTCTGGGACGATCAGCGTAGAAGTTTCATCAGCAACATGGTTCCCGAATTTGCCAGAACATCACATCAGAGTCAACAAAAATGCGTACCCGTGGCCAGAAATCGAACCCTGGCTTTCTGCGTGGGAGGCAAGCGCGATAACCGCTGGGCCGCGGCCGCGCTGCCTACGTGGCCAGCTGCGCGCGCGGCAATATGTCATTTGCCAAATGCTCCTCTCAGACTCCAACCTCTTACCTCCTGAATAACAATACTGTCGAACTTACTTCTACATATAAGTAAGTGGGTGTCCTTTTTTAGTTTCATTTATCCTGGCACTACCACATTGACCTCACACTTGCTCCCACTAACCGTTCCCTTGGGTTCATAAAGCACAATCTTCAACAAGCTCCCGCTCATTTATGAAAACTTGCTTATATCACTCTAATCCGCCCCAACATGAAGTATGTTTCTGCCATCTGGGATCCTGAGCAAGCCTACATTTTAAGTAACATCGAGTCCCTGCAAAATCGTGCTGCCCGTTTCATTTGTCCTGACTACCTATTTCTCATTGTCACCGCATTAAAAAATCAAGCCGAGATACAAGACCTGTCAAGCCGCCGCAAACATGCCCGTCTGTCATTATTTCACAAACTCTATCACCATGCATCGCTTCACGTCGATTTTTTGAAGACACCCCATTATCTTTCTACGTCGCGATAATTTGTTCAAACTAACGCGCATCAGATGCCATTCATCTAGTTATCCACGATCATTCATACCACGAGCCATAATTGACTGGAACAACCCACCGGCTCACACTGCAACTGAACTAGATATGTCTAATCTCCAAGAGCTCGTGCGCAGTTATACTAATACTTAGCGTTCTTTTTTATTCCATGTTCTTATATTGCCTCTGAGTACTTTTTTTTTTTGTGCACTATGATATATTTGCTTGCCCCTCCCCCCTTCTTATGTAATACCCTCCGACGGAGGGCATTGAGGGGTATTTTGAATGAATAAATAAATAGGATAATAAGTAAACTTGTTTGAGAATATTTCCGGTTTGGAGATATTCTCAAATATCCATCTTTGCACCAGCGGTGCAGGACCTCTGGTGCAAAAAAAGCGGACTGGCAGCGAACCGAAACCTTGGTAAAATGTTTCACTCTCCCTCTACATTTTTGAGCAGGCTGGTGTAGTGATTTTAGAATTAATTCTAGTTGTTTTCCTATGGAAAATATACCTTCGTCTTTGCTCACTGAAACTGACTGGTACGCTTGCAGTGAAGGTCACCATGGAGAACTTCAAGCCTGACTTTCGGGAGGGCGAGACCTTTTTCAGCGTCTTCTCCATCTTTTTTCCGGCGGCCACTGGGATCCTCGCTGGAGCCAACATTTCTGGAGACCTGAAGGCAAGGCGCTTTCCCGGGTTGACTAGCACTTTTTTTTCTTTTTTTTTTATCAGACCTGAAGTGCAGGATACTGTTCTGGAAGGCATACCGTTCTGTATCAGACCTGAAAGAAATTATGCTTTTCCGAAAAGCATAGACGTTTGTCATGCCTAGAGGCAGGATGTTGTCCTGGGTAGCTTAAATTTTTACCTCATTTTATTATTTTAAATTGGAAACGCGACGCTGGTCGACACAGCGGCTCTGATCAGACTCGAGAGGTTACTAGGTCGTTCCTTGACTACCAATGAAAAGTAACTTGTTGAAGGTAAACGCGTTATGCGCAAGTCTGGCTCCGGAAAACAAAGTACGGAAATGGAGTAAATTTTCGATTTCGCTCTCGCCCTCCGCAGGATCCTCAGAAGGCCATTCCTCGTGGCACGCTGCTGGCCATCTTGATCACGACCATCTCGTACGTGGGATTCGCCGTCATCGCCGGGAGCACAGTGTTGCGAGACGCCACGGGCGAGGTCCTGAACGGCACGAGCCCCGAATCTCTGGTCTTGAGCTTCGCCAACTGCACCGCCACGGACACCGGGAAGTGCCCTTACGGTCTCATGAACAACCATCAGGTTAGTGGGGTCGTTGAATTGTTCCCACGCGTGTTTCTCGAACCTACTGTGCTGCATTGGATGCAGCCGTCTGTTTGCACTTCTCTTAGAAAAAACACGGTGTAATCGCTGCATGTGCGTGTGCAAACATGTGCGGACGCGCCTCCAGCGTCTTAGAAGCATGCCTGCTTAGTACATGCCTCGAATGCGTCTGCACAGGACAAGGAAGAACCACGCATCGGGCAGTGTCTCTGGAGACTGTCATTTGTACGTTGTATTGACAGTGTGACCTCGGCATTAGTCTTTCCGTGGAATTTGTTTTCTTTTTCTTTTAATGTGGAACTCGAGTTCTTTTAATGTGGAACTCGAGTTCTTTTAATGTGGAACTCGAGTTCTTTTAATGTGGAACTCGAGTTCTTTTAATGTGGAACTCGAGTTCTTTTAATTTGGAACTCGAGTTCTTTTAATTTGGAACTCGAGTTCTTTTAATTTGGAACTCGAGTTCTTTTAATTTGGAACTCGAGTTCTTTTAATTTGGAACTCGAGTTCTTTAAATGTGGAACTCGAGTTCTTTTAATTTGGAACTAGAGTTCTTTTAATTTGGAACTCGAGTTCTTTTAATTTGGAACTCGAGTTCTTTTAATTTGGAACTCGAGTTCTTTTAATTTGGAACTCGAGTTCTTTTAATTTGGAACTCGAGTTCTTTTAATTTGGAACTCGAGTTCTTTTAATTTGGAACTCGAGTTCTTTTAATTTGGAACTCGAGTTCTTTTAATTTGGAACTCGAGTTCTTTAAATGTGGAACTCGAGTTCTTTAAATGTGGAACTCGAGTTCTTTAATGTGGCCGGCAAATACATGAATGTTACGCGCAAATAAGTTGTACTATTTGACGCATAACGTCAAGTATATTGTACACATGTTCCTACATAACTCAATGTAACCTTTCTTAGTGCAAAATGGCGCCACTTTTTTATTTTTTTATTTAGCGAATGAGTGTCTTAGATATTCGGGTTTGAACACGGCGCTAATTTTGCGTGGTTTCATTTTTATTGTGTTTGCACTACCACAATGGGTGCCAACTTAAAACTGGAATGTCATAAATAGGACGTTTGTATGCCATCATTCGTTGTCGGCAAGCAATTTAAATTTCCCTGCCAGGTCATGGAGATGGTTTCCGCCTATGGCCCCCTGGTCATCGCCGGCGTGTTTGCTGCCACCCTGTCTTCTGCGTTGGCCAGCTTGGTCAGCGCACCCAAGGTCTTCCAGGTTGGTAGAGTTTACGGCCTGGTCCCTCCTATACTCATAGGCAGCTAGGTGGCGCAAGCTACCACCCGTTATAAGGTGTACAGCCGTTAATACGCATCCATGCATCCAGCGTAAGAAACTCTGGGCTCATTATGTCCACGCTTTTTCCTTTGCGAGTCGTTGGTTGACCTAATGGCGAACCTCATTGGCCGCTGAGCGATAATAAGATACTTGGGAATGGCCGCGCTTTGCATTTCTTATGGAGTTCAGCTAAAGAAGAAAGTCTATGATAAATCATATTTCGTCCCTGGTGGAAGCTCATGCTACTTTTTTCAAACTTCTTCGGTTCGCCAGAATTGTTTGGGAACGTCGTGACTTGCTAACGTTAGAGTCGCGTTATATCGATATATCATATTTGGCCATGTATGAGCTTGTTTGTAGGTGGCATAAATATCCTCTTTAATTTAACTCATGTGTGCTTTTTTTTTCTCTTGCGTAAGATAATTTTTGTATGGTTCGATCAAGCAAAATTGGAGGCCGTTATTGCTTGGGTTACGAAATTGCAGAAGGTACGTAAATTGGCTAAGGAAAGATATCACACATTTGGTTCTTAATTTCTATGATAGGTGGCGCAAGGTACCGCCCGTTAAAAAAAGGCCAGCCATTACCGTCCATCCATAGGGCACGAAGCGTGTGGTTGGATCAGAGTCTTCGCCGAACGTTGACGCAGCACTCGTTCTCGACACGAGCTGAGCCGAGCTCACGCCGAAAATGCAAAATGGCGGATTTGGATAGCTCTCTAGCCTATAAACCCCATGCAGAAGTGCTACATTGTTCTTGTGTGAATTTATTGACAATGAATATATTGCCTTGTCTTATTCGTAAACGTTTTTATTAACCTCGCTCTTTTTATGAATTTCCCTTGGCGTTTGTTTGTGTGTTAATTTCTACAGTAATGCATTTTGTTAATAGCCTTATTCCTAACTAAGAGGGCCTCATGGCTGTTTGTATGCACCAATATTTCCAAGTAAATAAGTCATCCAGATTGTTGCAGCAAAAGCAGTAAGTAACAAAAAGTTTGTTCGCAATGGAAAATAAACTGCGCTTCAGCAAAAGCTGACCCATTCGAAATATTGTGCTAGGTGTCGAATTAATACATCAGTGTCTGAACTTAAAGCTACCTAACTCAAAACCTACGATTTTTTTCTTTATTTTTAATAAGAAAGTGGAGTTCCTAACAGCTGACTTTTTCTCCATTTTATATCCGAGCTGGTGTTGGCCGTCATTTGCTCATCGAAAATAGAGCTTTTTTTCTTTCTTTTTAATTGAACAACCCGAAGTTTTAAAATTCACATCTTATCCATATTGCTAGTGTCCTATCTTAGTTATTTACTTGCAACATACGACGCGCCCTTGCAGGACCTGGCAGGGTGGATCGATAATAACAAAATAAAATAAAATGCTGTTGTGTAGCTATAAAAAAAAAGCAGGTGCCTTTGACAGCAAGCAAATACAAGCCATAAGAATTCGCCTTCAATACATAAACGGGCCACACTGCCGACAGTGGAATCGCGCAAAGCAATTCCGATCACATAAACAACGAAACAAAATTGATTGAAGTCCGGTGGTTTTTTGACGATGCGCAGTTTTTTGCGGTGCAAAAAAAAAAAAACATTATTCAATTTTCTCGGCTGTCCCTTTGTCTAGTGTGTTTCCGAAAAAAAAAATGAAAAAGGTACAATATTTGTTGTTTTTATCGCATAAATGAACTACACATCGCCGAACGCCCAGCCTTCGCCCAAATGTAGGGCTAGCTGTTCGAACCAGATGACAGGATTTTTATCTTATCCACCAAAGAAAGCAAAGTTGCGCGATTTTTTTGAAACTTTCTATGGGAAAAGGGTTCGTTCCCGATAGCTTAAATCATTCAATTCAATTTTTATTTCAAATCAAGCCATACAATTTAAAGAGCTGGCCCACAAAAGCAGCATTCTGCTTCTAAGTGGGGCCATATATACTAAGAAAATGGTTAACTGACCCGATTCATTCCCATGTATTCGTGGGTGTTTCGTCGGCGTTGCGGAGTTGGGGAATTTTGTACCTTGAACCTGAACGCACAAGTGGTGTTCTTCTAATTCTTATATGAAAAGGTCCCTTCTTTTCCAGGCCCTTTGCAACGACAAGCTGTTCCCGTACATTCACTGGTTTGGCCAGGGCTTTGGCAAGAACAACGAACCCCGGAGGGGCTACGTGCTTGCCTTTGTCATTTCCCTCGCTTGCTGCGCCATTGGTGAGTATTTTCCGGTCACAATGTAATGTTCCGTTCTTTCGCTATATACTTTCTAAAAATTCCTGAGTATTATTTTTTGTATTAATTTTTCTAACCGATTCGCTGTTTTTGGGAGTCTACTTTTGGTCATGATCAACATCCACCAGCTCATGATCATGATTTACATCCACCAGCTGGCCTGTAGACTCCCTGTTTTTTTTTTTCGACTTTTGGTGACGGACAAAATTGGTGCATATCGCGGGCATAGGTTGAAGAAACCTTAACACTACCGTGGTTTTGTTTTCGCTGTCCAGGACGGAACTGCTGTTGGAGTCGAAGACGTGTTGTCCACGTCATCGACAGTAGTCCCGTCCTGGACACCAAAAGAAACTAGAAAAAAATCTCCTTTTTAGAATCGTGGCGTATTCAGCATACAAAGAACAACCTGAACCGGTCGATCGGTACCCTCCCAAGCACTTGTATTCACAAACTTCGAAGAGTCAGAAAAATATGATTCTAACGGCAGCGACAGGGAGGAAAGAAAGACAAACACCCAGCCAAACAAGTCACCCGTGAACAAGCTGTTGGTTAAAGGGTCAGTTTTGAGAGAGTATCGATCGGTAGGCATCGAAAACGCGGAACCGTAGTGACTAAGATGGTGGCAGCTTTCAATAATGAACGTGAATGTCGTGCTAAGCCATTCAAAGTAGGTAATCTCATGGATGTGTTGTTTTTTTTCTCTCCAGGCGAATTGAACGCCATTGCGCCCATCATTTCCAACTTTTTCCTGGCCGCATACTGCCTCATCAACTTCTCCTGTTTCCACGCCTCGTTCACTAGGATGCCGGGTGAGTTTATTGATTATTTGCTCGTTCATTCATTCCTTAAAATTGTTCGTTTTAATTGCTTCACATGTTAGCGTTTGAAATAGGCAAGACGCCATACAGGTTTCACGCCTAATCTTGCATGGTTAGACAGATAGCCTGTAGCACTTATGCGCACGTGGTCTTGCCCGAATCGAAATGTTTGCATTAGGTTGTTGACAAGTAAGTGATGTGGTGAAGGAGAATATAAAGTCGAAGATAGCTAAAGTTAACTAAAGGCTGTAGTATACGGTGCCCCTTGAAAATGTTTTGTGGATACACCATATTTGGTGCTTTAAATTTCTGTTCTAGGCGTAGCGCAGGATTTCAGAATACATGAGATACATGTCATAAACCCCGAGACTGCAGGTAAGAAACAACACCAGACCTTTGTGTTCGTGTCGTTTTTTGCCTGTAGTCTCGGGATTTATGGCCAGTTCAATCTAAACCAGCTCGTTTGCGCCCTTACATGTTGAAAACAAATGCAACGAGAAGGATGTCAAATTAGAACATAAAAAGCTAGTAGTACTGTTTTCGTTTAGTTCCCTCCATTAAACTCCGTATTTTCAAAAGACATTCTGCTAATTGCACATTAGATACCGAGATTCGCATTTTGTTTTTCGGTGGCTGGTTTTGATAAACTGAATTAAATAAAATGATGAAGTTTGTAGATGCATAATCGTAAAACAAAAATAAAAGAAATCTCGATGCCTATACTCGGTTCACCCTTAAGCTAGAGAGTAGAATCTCCGCCTTCAGCGCGAGCTCGCTGGCTTTGGCAGTGCTTTGGTTGCGCGTGCCCGCGCGTTCACACTTGTGTTAGCAAGGGAAGAAAGCTCACGGGGAAGGCGGAGCTTCTAGTCTCAGCTTAAGGGTGAACGGAGTATAGTCAAGTTTGAGAATGGTTTCCTTGATTGCTACCGATTTGTTCCTCGACAGGATTCCGACCGGCGTTCCGTTACTACAACCTGTGGGCCAGTCTGCTGGGTGCAGTTCTCTGCCTCAGCGTCATGTTCATCACCAACTGGCCAACTGCTCTGGGGACCTTCGCCATAGTGCTGGGACTCTATATTTTTATCTACAACAGAAAACCAGGTCAGTCTGTTCCAAGTGATGTAATTGTTTAGTGTACATTTTTGGGGAGGAAACAAAAAAAGGTGGAGTCCGTTATTGAGGATTTGCATCGCGTAACTCGAAAATATTGGAGAGGAGATAAAACTGTCGCGCACCTAGCGGCTACGGTGGGAACTGCACTCACGGAGATAACTTTTTTTTTTCTTTTTCTGACGGAGCGCTTGACTGACTTACTCGAATGCTGCGTCAGTGTGGAACTCGCATTCGATCAATGACGCACCAATTGAGCGCGAGTCTCTATCGAACATTCACTCAACGCTCGCGTCAAATCTGCCCCACGCACGATCGAGGAAGGTGAAGTAAAGAATCCAATCCACAGACATACTGTGGACTGGATTCGTTCACGGATAAAAACCTAGCTCCGTGGAACACACGCTGAGCAAAGCGCCCCCTATAGTTCTATCTCGTTACAATAGTTGAATGGTAGATGCCCAAAAAGGCGTTCACAATAATAACATGTCGAACAAGATAGCATCTTTGAGTACACACAACGGCCCTAAAATGACCGAGTGTTTGTGGTCGTCGGCTGACACAATGTCTGCTTTCATTAGTCGACACAATGCTTAATTTTTTTTTTTTTTTGCGTTACAGACGTGAACTGGGGATCTTCGACTCAAGCTCAAACTTACCTTGACGCACTCAACAGCGTCGTCAAGCTCAACAACGTGCGAGATCACATCAAGAATTATAGGTGCCGTGAATTTTCATATCTTCCACACACATTCAACAAACAAAATGCATTCTCTCACAATACCTCACACTCGAGTATCTGCTACAAAACGAATGTTTCAACCAAGGATATCTGCGGTGTACTGATTGTTGTTTTCGCTCCAGGCCACAAATATTAGTTTTGACTGGGAACCCGGCCGATCGTCTTCCGCTGGTGGATTTTGCCTACCTTCTGACCAAGAAGCTGTCGCTTATGGTCTGCGGGGACATCCGAAAGGTTTGCACTGTTTTTTTACGAGATATGTTTTAATCCTGGAGACTTCGTTTTGTCCAGTCACTGGATGGTGACGTGAAAGCAGAACTTGACGTTCTCATGTCAAGCGACCTGTCTTGGTTGTCTAAGTGCTCTCTCTTGTCTCCTTCTACTTTTCCTTGTCGTTTTGCGCAATCTAATATTGGCGCACACGGTTCTATACGGTTCTACTTTGAGAACAGCTGGAGATAGATAAATGAGCTGGCATCCTGTGGCGAATGCAGATTGAGAGCAGCCAAAGTTCGATAGGCGTGTCACATTTTTCCTCTTAATCTTGTTCTAGTCCTTGAAACCCATTAGTTTTATTTACGTTTTTGACCACGGTCTGTGGTTAAAATGGTCTATTGGCTAAGCGTATGCCATCATCAGTTTCACTACCTTTAAAGGAGCCAGGTTGGTTCTCTCGAAATGTCGTTTCATTAAGGCTTTTTGCTGTTTCTTTGCCACTCGATTTTTATTTTTTGAGAAAACGTTCTCCATTCACTAAAACGCTAACTGTCAGAGAATATATCTCTGCAGCAACCGGAGTACGATATTTTTTTTTCTCAATGAAGTAAGTAAAACATAAATCACTTAGTTATCCGGGGAGTTTATTTTTCCTAAATGGCATTTTGCTGAACAAGATAAGTATGCCATTTTATCAGAATTTATCGTGAATTAAAGGGAACTTTACTATACTCATTACCGCTCTTATTAATTTCCCAGGGGAATTTTCAAACAAATGATCTTCTCGGACCTTTAGTGTCAGTAGCCATAAAATATGTGCGTTGCTGCGAAGATAGGTGAAAGGGGCTGGCTTCCCCATTTCCTGCCTTATGTCTTCCCTTTTCCCAACCCAACTTCGTCAGCCCCCGATGTCTTACCGGTCCCGCAACCTGCTGACGGCCAAGGCGTATCGCTGCTTCGAAGAACGCAAGGTGAAGGCCTTCTACAGCCTCATTGAGGAGCCCAGCTTCTCCAGGGGTGTGCTTTCCCTCATTCAGGTAACATCTCTACCTACGTGCACTTGACCCTTTCTGGCTTATTTTTCCTGCCCACTTGTTTTTGAAATTATTGTTTAAAAAAAAAGTGTACGTCCATGCATTTCCCGTTCAATTTAGCGGGGAAATTGAATGGATGTTTAATATCCTCGTATGATTTCTGCTTTCTCTCGACCTTCAGCTGGTGGGCGTCGGCAAGCTGCGACCCAACGTGGTGCTCATGGGCTACAAAGCCAACTGGCAGACCTGCCCCAGGGAGGAGCTACAAGAGTACTTCGACGCCATACAGTGAGTAGTCCTGAGCTATGGAACTATGACCGAAGCGAGTTTTAACTTGTTAATCTACCTGACCGGTGGCGTAGCCTGTGCACCTCCTCCGCGTAGATGCTTCAACCAAGTCACACTCCTTGTGGGAATCGCATTTTTGGTCACTGAATCACCACTAGATCCCGGGTTTCGGCTGTTGATAATGCACTAACCACCCATTCAGAGAAGCTTGTGTGAACACGAATGTTGCAGCGAAGATAAACACAGAGAAAAAGTCACCAATTCGTTTGAAAGTTTGATTACTATGCACCATCGGCACTTTGTGGATTCCCAGGTGGTCCCCCTTAGTGCTGAGGAGACCCAACCGACGACCAGAAATTATCAAACTTCAATTGGCGACACTCCAGTTGGAAAGCTCTATCATTAGTGTTTTTTTTTTACAAATAGTTTCTTTTCCCAAGTAGTAAATAAGCTAGTGTACTACTTTGCGTTTCGCCTACGTCCAGCATATGTGACGTTTCTTTTACTTTGTTCTCTCTGCTGGCAAAAAGCAATACACTGAATGTAACCGAAATGTGCATGTATATTTACAGGAAATCTACCTAAAGTTTTTTTTTTCTTTTCTCAAGTGTGTTTTCAGACCTTGGCGTCTGCATTGGATCGCCTGCAGCAGCAGCAGAACTTTATCAATGCGCGTGGCGCATCACAAACAAAAAATACAAAAAATCTATACTATAAATATGCTAAAAGTATACTTCGACATTAAAACTATATCTTAGCTTAAGCGACGTGTACTCCAAGCGTCAATTTTTGTGGTATAAAAACTGTAGCAATAGTATGGTATTAGTGTATAGCTTTCTGAAAGGACTGGCTCCCTGCTACCAAAGGTTCTTGTTGGTTGGCACCTGCAAGTGACACCGTACTAACCCGACGACCGAACCGGCGCATTGCAGTCATGCCTTCGACTCGCACATGTCTCTCGGGATCATGCGTCTCGCGGAGGGCCTGGACCACTCCAAGTACACCGTGGTCGAGGAGGACGCGCCGGTGCCCACCGCGCCGAACAACGCCGGGACCAACCAGCTGTCCGCGGACACCAAGGGCAGCGTGAACAACGACGCTTCTTCCACCGAAACACTCGCCCGCAACGCCTCCAACTCTCAGTTGTCCCAAGGTACGGACGGCAGAGCTCACGTTTAGTGCTCGGAACCATGTATATATTTTCACTAATTACAAAGCTAATTAACAATTTTTAATTAATTATCCGATTGATCGTTACGATTAGAACCCTATACTATGTCCCCCTGACCGTATAACCATATATCCTCCTCTATACTCACAATTCCTGACACCTCGATGACAGAGCCATGGTGTCCTGTCCCAGATTCGGAGCGCGAGGATCCGGTAGCACAGAGCATTTCTGGGGGAACCTGTAGTCAGCGCACAGCTTTTGCAGCGGGGAGGACCCGAATCATGGTTTTCAAACCCGACCAGAAAAGAAGCGGTAGCGCGAGGAACGCGAGGAGCACGAGCGGACGTTCCATCGCTCGAGAGAAGTTTGTTTCGGCGTCTCGCCGCAGCGGGGCGCCCGTCACCTGGCTCTCCTCTCATCCGTTGTCTGCCGCTCTACCTTTTCAACTTCGGCGGCCACGTCTCGTGTCGATCTGACAGCCTTTGTCAGTGTAGGGGAGGCTATGGTATAACTCACCTGCACTAACCGCGTAAGTAGCTAATTACGGCCTTTTCAAAACAAATATGTAAAGCTTACAAAAAAACAAAAAAACCTGTATAGACGGAAAGAAAAAACGCTAGTTCGCGTCCGTGTCTTTTCACAACACCATCTAGAATAATCAAAGCTTGTACACTAGCATTTGGTAGGTCATCGCGATGAGATGGAGCGCACACAGGATGGACAAACGATGTTGAGTCCGTGTTCTACTGTACGTAGAATGTCCAGTTAACGCGTCGAGGGACGCACATCGTCAGACTCGTGACCAAATGCTGAGTTGCCGCCCATCCGAGTGCGTTCACGTTTACATGGAGGTTATTCTAGGTGGTGTCGGCCTTCCACAGCACTGCACAGGGGTGGTGAAGGGCGGGGATCCGAAACTCTCTCACCTGCTTCATCTTGTCGCTCTTTCTCTTTCTCTCTTCTGTCCACTTTCTCGCACTGCACTCGCTTTCTTTTCTTTGCTGCCGCGGATACGGTAGCCCTGAGGCCGACTGCATCCTGGCTGGCCTTTCTGGCGGCTCTCACTATCGCTGGTGAGTTCCTTCCTCTCGGAGGATTCACTATACACCTCGCGCACTGTGCCGTCACGTCCTCTCTCGTCAGTCACCCGGCACCTCTCCTTCCCTCTGTCTTCCGTGACCATACGCCCTCTTTGCTCGTCCTTCATTTTTTTCACTTACAACGGTTGCTTCACTGATCCCGCTTATCTCCTTCGCGATACTTGCTTGGCTCGCGCACTCATTTCGCGGAAATAAAATACTCCGCTGTAGAGAGCTCGCTCTGCCATTCTGGATTGGGTCTTGAGGTGGGGAAAGGTCTCTTTGCCCGACGCCAATGTTTTGTAAAATAAAACAAAAATATTTTTTACTATACTTTTTTTTTACGTGTCTAGTAAACGCTGTTTTTTTTTTTTTCTTTTCTACACTTTAAATTGAGAAAGAAAAATAATCTGAGAAAGCATTACACTAGCTTGATCACGATGTCAAGGACTGGAGAGTGCGGAATGGGTTGTGACTGTAGCAATAGAAGTTGATGACCTATATTTCGTTTCTAAGTATGAGCTAGAGCCACTAAATGAGCTCCGCTTAGAGTATCGGCACTCCGTTCCCCGACATTGTTGTGGGCGCCGCCATTTTGGGGCTTGTGCAGAGCAGACGCAACGCGCTCAGCATTTGCGCATGATAGCTATGGCGCTAGTGAATACTCCCTACAGGGAATATTCACTGGCGGCCATAGCTGTGTGCGCGAATGCTGAGCGCGTGCTGATGGCGAGCTTCCACAGTTCTTTTGCAACGTGCATTCCGCACCATCAAGAGTGCCGGTCTTAGCAGCCTATTGATGCGAGCTCGTTCTGAGCATGTGCTCTAAACAGCACCCACAAATATGGCGTCTAGTGAATACTCCCTATACTTGTTGGTGTCTGCTGTTTGTGTCGGCTGTTCACACGGAAAGAATAAAAACAGTTCAAAAAGCTGTGTGTCTGTCCCTCGTATATTTTCTGTGTTTTTATTCTTTCCGTGTGAACAGCAAGTAGAAGATTGGACAGAACAATCGCTTTTCCTGTTCAGTCTTCTACTTGTCTTTTGTCTTCCGCGTTAGTTGCTTTTGTGGCGTTGTGAATAACCTGGACACATTTCATGTGTCTGTGTGTGTGTGTGTCACCTGAAACCATGACACCATGCGACTGCCTGATATCACGTGACACCATGGCGTGAAGTCATGATGTCGCATGGCACCCCGGCGTTAAGTTCGCACGTGAAAGAAAATGCGTCCGAAGAGGCTTATAAATGTTATAGATGGCTATAAAGTATGAGAAACGCTGGAATGGGTCAGTGTCTTCGTGGAGGTCTGCTGAAAAAATACGTTCTGAGTTAATAAATGAAAAATCCTCCGAATCCTAAGAATAAACACCGAAATCGCGGAACTCTATAGTTACTATACGACATTGCCTTCGTGCAGCCGGCAGCTCCTGCGACGACGACGAAACGACGCCGACCCAGACGCCTTCCCAGACTCCGACTCTGGAACGTGGCAACCGAGACTCCGGTCTGGGGTCGTACCGCAAGACGACGGAGAGCGTCGCCGTGACGGCGGAGCCAGAGGCCCCGGTGGCGGGGTCGATCTCGACGACGGTGACGTTCCGGCGCAATGTGACGACGTCGCCGACGGTGCTCCAGCGCTGGACCCGGCGGACGTCGTCCCAGGCGCTCGAGTTGGCCCGCGCCGTGCCCAAGAACGTGCTCCTCTCCGTGAACCAGTTCCAGCGGAAGCAGAAGAAAGGCACCGTCGATGTCTGGTGGCTGTACGATGATGGAGGTGGGTAGACGACTCGAATCGGTCGAGTGCGTTTTTTAGAGCGGAGCTGGTAAGGGCTAGTTTCCCCAGGATCATGTCTGCCAGCAAATAAATGTCGACACAATACTCCGGACAGCTACCGCCATCTATGCAAGCCGGTTGTCTGGTTGCCGCCGTCGCTCATAGATGGCGACAACCTCTCCAGTCTTTCCACTCTGGCTTGCCGACTCGCAGCCGGACATTACTTCATTCCCACCATCGTGCAGCTTCGCTGGTCTTCCTTCCCCAGCGTGGAAAGGCTGAAAGTTTTTTTATCTCCTTGTCTGGTTATGTTTGAGTCCCACTGGAGCGACAAACAGAAACAACTGACACCGACAAGCCTCAAGCCCGTACGGTGCACACGCGAGGGTACTACCGCGGGCGATGTGAGCCGAGACAGGCGTCTGTGATTCCTCAGCTTTCCTGCCCGTTCTTAAAAAAAAAAAGGAAAAGTTTTGGTTTAAATTTGACTTCAAACCGAAAGTTTAGGTCTCTTTCGTTGAACGCTATGATATTTTGAGGATTAGTGGAGGTCGAGGGAACTGTGGCACAGCAATCGTCCGAATAGCGTGTTTCCGCTCATTGTCTGTGAGTGTACCTTGGGCAGGCTTGCAGACTTCCCATGTTCGTGAAGTAAGCGTTAGTGATTCCTGCCAAAGATACATTCGCGTGCGCGCTGCATGGGCTTCAGGCTTGTCGGAGTCGGATATTGCTGTGTGTTGCTCTAGTGGGACTGTGGCATTAAGGTGGCAATCGCAAACAGCCGACACCGACAAGTATAGGGAGTATTCACTGGCGGCCATAGCTGTGTGGGCGAATGTTGAGCGCGTGCTGATGACGAGCTTCCACAGTGCTTTTGCAACGTGCATTCCGCACCATCAAGAGTGCCGGTCTTAGCAGCCGATTGATATGAGCTCGTTCTGAGCATGCGCTCTAAACAGCACCCACAAATATGGCGTCTAGTGAATACTCCCTATCGAGAGCGTAGGTCATGCACGCGATGGTACCTGTGGCAGATTTGCAATCACTCGTTCTTGCTTCACGAACACCAAGAGAAAAAAGGCTCGCCAAAGTTTCGCGTGCGTGCTGCCCGTGCCTGAGGTTTGTAGGTGTCAGTTGCTTCTCTTTGTCGCTTCAGCGTTACTCGGTTACGAGTGAAAATAGAGAACGCACCTAGACCGGTGCCACTGTGGTTAACGTTGCTTCATGAACTATCAAGCAGGCCCGTGTGACGGATTCGCTGCGAACGCTCATCTTTTATGGCGGATGGTTATGACGTTTCGTGGTCACGTCCTGTCGTTTGCAAACGTTTCTTAGCGATCATAATTTTTGGCAGCTGGGGAAATCGCTTGATGCCGAGTACTTTATAGGCTATAACCGATAGAACGACGTTGAAAAACAGCGTATTTGTCCGCCAAGAAAGACTTGCACGCGTACCAAATCTGTGACTCGTGTTGGTGTGGACAGCCCTTACTGGAGCAACCATGTGTTTGCAACACGGTGACTATGGTAGCAAGTTTGGTTTAGATGCTGGCTCTGTACTTCTCACCTTAACCTGGGTTAATTGAAGAGGGAACTTAGCACGAGCTCCTTCTATTTGATCGCAATGCTTGAGCGCTTGTGTAGTAGGAGCATCAATGACAGCTACCCGGCTGTAAACCGTGAAGCTGTGAGCCACGGGTGAGTGCCATGGGTCGTGCAAATTGGGAAGTGGGGAGAGTAGGTCGTTTTCTAGTCTGAGACACTGAACCACATGACGGCTTCAGTTGTGGGACAGTGCGGTCTGCGAAAAACTTACAAAAAACATTTCTTAAGGAAAGGGTGAATCTGGATTATGATGAGGGTGCTGTATAAAAAATGTCACGATGCTTCAGGAAGAATTACCTGGATCATCTTGCATCACTGCAGAATTTGGCGGGCCGTGCCACATTATTTCTTCTTTTTCTTTTTTTTACGTTTGCACGACAGGTCTGACGATGCTGATTCCCTACCTGCTCTCAACGAGGTCTCAGTTCTCCGGCTGCAAGCTCAGGGTCTTTGCACTTGCCAACAAAAAATACGAGCTGGATCAAGAACAGCGAAAGTAAGTTTTTACATCATCCTGTCGTCGGTCTTGCTATAATCTGTGTCATTAATCGCGGCGAGCTGTACTCGAGAAAGTCTGAGGAACGATATCATCTCTGTTTCTATTTGCAGCATGGCCGCTCTTCTCAGTAAATTCCGGATAGAATATTCCGACGTCACGGTCATTCCAGACATCGTCAAACCTCCCAAGGAGTCGACGTAAGTTCGTGTTATTATTTAAAATGTTTAATCTTTTTTTTTTTTTATTTGCGTTGCACTTGCAAGCTTCTATTCGCATCTGAAGGACGATGCTTTTTGTTTCCTTCTAGGAAAGCCGAGTTCAACAGAATTTTGAAGCCGTGGAGAAGGTCCTCTCAAGATGTGGACGCTAAGGACTTGACCACGCCATTTGTCAGTGATTCGGAGGTTCTGGCAGTGAAAGAGAAGGTGCGTTAGACTTTAATAACTCTCGACCGAGACGTTATTTTTCTTTCTAATAGTCGCAAGGCATTTTGTTTATTTGAAACTGAGCGGTAATATTGCGGACGAGCAAAAACGTTCGAATAGTAGCCATCGATGATTGACTCAAGGTAACTTCTTTTTAGCATGTTGAGGTTTTCTTTTCCCGAATATGTTCAAAGAGTATGCAATACAGCCTACAGTAAATGAAAGGGGTTGGGGCCTTCTATCTAGAACCAAGTCTTTACATTTTGTTGGTATTAAGCTGTTTTCCGCTTAGTTGTGTTTAGCTGAAAAAAAAGGGCTTTTTCCGTTTTTGTTTTTTTTTTCTGGGAGAAAATTTTTGTTTGATTTATTTTTTATTTAAATTTTGCTTTTATAGACCTCAAATATTTATATGGTGGATACAGGCAGCAAATATTTTTTTCCTGAAAAGTCTTCTACGGAAACCTCACGATCTTGGCAGACTTAATAATCAGCGAAAACTAAAGTAAACCATTTACACAACGTTACACCGGGCGAAATTTCAACGAACACCGAAACATCTATGAAGAGCATGTTTAGAAGTAATGTTATTATTCGTTTGACTCTGGACCGATATGCATTGTGAGAATGACTGCTCAGAACGCCATTTTTATTATTCACCTTGCAGACATACCGAAATCTTCGTCTTCATGAACTACTTCGGGAGCACTCCACAAATGCTTCACTGGTTGTCATGTAAGTCGCTCGATAACTCTCCTGTTCTCTGCGGCATTCTTCAAAGCAAGGCAGCAATTGAGTGTCCTTGTAAAGCAAGTCTAGTGTGTGAATGCTCGTCTAAACAAATACTTTTTTCAAAGGTCGCGCCACCTCAATGCACCTCAATGCGTTAAATTTCAAGTCCTAACCAGCGAGGGGCCGTGCATGCTTATCTAAGATAGTGAGTAGACAGGCGAGGTGGGGGCTTATGTTAGACATTTCTAAAAAAACCGGAAGCGCCGAATTTCCAGGAGCAGATGTGTGCGCTGATGCCCGTCGGTGCCGTGCATTGTGCTACCCTAGAAGCACTGGTCTTTAACGTCTTTGTTGGAGACCTGTGCTTTTTTATTTGTAAAGTTACCCTAGTGGCACAGGCACTGTGATCTCCAGGGGCAATGAACAAACTGTAAGGGTAGTGGCAATTGAAGCACTAAATATTTCTACCGTGTGAATTGCATTCGTGTAAACATCCCGCTCTTTCTACCCTGCAGGACGTTGCCCATGCCCCGCAAGGGCACGTGCACAGCGCCCATGTACATGGCATGGTTGGAGATGCTCACGAAGGACATGCCGCCCTTCCTCTTGGTTCGGGGAAACCAAACCAGCGTGCTTACTTTCTATTCGTAGGTCAAGCCACGTCTCGAGCCCTGTCCATCTTCAGAGAATTCCCTCGCGTAGTTAAGGAGACATTGAGTTGTCGGTCACGTAGCTTGCGTCCAAGCGTGGCTGCTGCTTTTTTATTTTTATACATGATGTTTGTTTCGGAGTTCAGTTTTCGAGGTTAATATAATTTGGAGACGGGGAGCGGTGATTTTAGGTAGCATGCACATCTGTAAATACTTGCATTAGAAGACTTTGTAGCATGTGTTTTTTATCGTTAGTTTTTTTTTGTTACTTAGTGGTAAAGCAGACCCGCGGAAGTTTTCTTTTTTGGTTTTGTTTGTCTCCTTGTTGTTCCCAAAGCATTTTTTATGAGGTGAGTGCAGATGCCAATAGGGCGATTGCATCACGTTTCTACAGCCGTGTTCCAGGAAAAAAAATTCTAGTCTGAGATTGTTTTTGTAAGAAGTGGCTTGTATTCAATAAAGAATCTACAGCTTTCTCATAAAAGTTGTGTGCTTGTTGTGCCTCTTGCTTTGGAAATGTACGTTTTTGATATAAAAATCACCGGCTTATTGATTGGATGGTTGTGAAGTTCTATGCCGTCGTCTATAGGAAATTGACCTTGAATTTTTTTAAAGTCGAGCGCTGAAGATCAGTGTTGCAGTGTCCCTGTTGCTAGAAGGAAGCCTTAACGGCTTCTTTCCAGCTTGTTTAGCATGGAAAACAGGGACGTCCTCAATGTTGACTCTTTAGTGTACTTGTACTTCTTGCACGTGTTTCATGAAAACGCATAGACAAATTTTTACAAATTGCTGCGTCTCAAAAACAAGCATTCATCTGCAGGTATGTATGAACCAAAATTTAACAAATGCTGCATCAAAGAGTTTTCAGTTAAAGAGTTCTATTAGCTCATCAAAGTAGCTTCGTTTCAATACAGTACGATCTCGATAATTCGTACAGCAGATTATACGCATGTTGAGCTAACATGCGGATCCAGTCCAACTCTTGTGTATTTCAATGGTAGAAAGCTCCTGGTAATTCGAATGCATGAAAATGTACAACTTCTTAGCTGCAATATTGGCAGCTACGAAGCTATTGGGTCAACTAGCTATAGCTTCAATGCACAAACATTCAAGACTTTAGGCTGCCAAAGAAGCTTCATGGTCGACAGTGCCGTGTAAGTTTCTTTGTTTGCCCTAAGAAACTTGATTGGTTGCATGGCTATAGCATTGAAAAAAAATTTTCTACAGCTGGCTAAAGTAAATAGTACGGTCACTAGTCTATAGCTTTCGAGGCATCGACTTGTTTATGTCCGGCTAAAGAAAGTTGAATGGTCACATGCCTATAGCTTAGAGACATCCGATTTTCTATTGCAGGTTAAAGAACATTTATTGGTTTTATGTTTTTAGACACTGTCATAAAATTTTTGATAGGCGGGTAAATCAAATTTATTGGTTCATAGTCTTTAGACTCGGGGCCATAAAATGTTCTATAGGCGAGCAAACACAATTTATTGGTCCCCAGCCCTTAGGCACAGGGCCAGAGACTTTTCTATAGTTGGCCTTGGCTGTATAATATATATGGATTTCTACGGCCGACCCATAGGGTGTGATAGCCTGCCATAGAATTTTCCATAGGCAACCATAGACCTTTTTTGTGTGGGTTGCGCTCGCTCTGCACTAAGCACGAAAATAGCCACACTCGCAAGAAAATGGAGTTGGAGCCCCCATACGCTGAAGTGCGTTCTAGTGGTTCTGGGTATCGCACCGTCGGACGGTTGGGCGGTGGATTTTCAGGCTGCTCATGGTCTGCTCCGTCGACGGTAGCTTATTATAAACTTTATAGAAACATAAAAAGGCAGATCGCATTCTTTGCTGTTTTGGTCACGTCCCTTGCAGCGAACGGGGATGTTTATCAGGTGATTCTCGGAGGCGTTAAACTAGGCAGCTAGAATGCGATATCATCTTAGAAGTGACATTCCTAAGATCTCCGACTGTCGCAGGTTTACGCGCCTTTTCGTATTGGAAGCGTCCGACTTGACAGTGGCGCCACAGCGAGGCTCCTAGCAGAAGCATTTCGCTACACATCGTGTGTGGTAGCAAGACTGTAGTTTCTAATGCATGTAGATTTACCTGAGCGCCGCGCTACACAAAACGTTCAAAACCACGGTCGGCGCTAATTTGATTTTTTTAAAGGATAATTGAAAACACGAGCTCCCCTCAATGCGCTGACGGAAGCAGCCGCGATCATGTAATTACGACAGCGAATTGATTAGCAATTTTCTAACATTTTCAGTGGGGAAATGGGGCCAGTTTTCGCCCATTTTCGGTAACTGGCGCCATTCAGCTCTATGTACTTGAAAGCATTGTCAGTCGCCAACGGCGCCTAAATTCCCATTGGCTGAGCGAAACGGCACCTAAATTCCCATTGGCTGAGCGAAGGGGCACCTAAATTCCCATTGGCTGAGCGAAATGGCACCTAAATTCCCATTGGCTGAGCGAAACGGCACCTAAATTCCCATTGGCTGAGCGAAGGAGCGCCTAAATTCACATTGGCTGAGCGAAACGGCTACTAAATTTTCCTTGCCAATAAAACGCAAAGAAAAGCAGGGCAACGCAATGCTTCGTCACGGAAGCCGTCGTGAAGCCGGCGGGGCTTGCCGCGCCTGCGCAGTAGGGGAGCGTGATGTCAACGCCGGAGCGCCGTGTTCGAAAGGAAGACGTGGCGCGATCTGCTTGTTCGAATGCGCTACCCGTGTAGGAATGCTTTCTCATTTCTATACGTAGACAATGTTAAGTGTCTTCTCGATTCTATTTTTTTTTTTTTTTTTTTACAGCTAAAGGTTTGGTGGAACTACTATTATAGCGGATGACTTCAGTCAGGTGATGGAATTTGGAGTTCGACACCCCAGCGTGCATCCCGTGTGAATAGTAATAAGCGTTTTGTTTACTGTTTTGAAATAAAGTGCTGCGTTTTGTGTCGCTGTTGTGTGGTTTCTTATTCATGGCGATTACTAATCCCCAACACGTGGCGATCTATGTTTCGGTGATTGTTTATTCTATTGTAACACTTCGTGGGACACTGCAAAAAGCTTCGTAGGCAATATTTTAGCCCAAAGCGAATAACAACGCGCCGGAGAGTACCGGAGCGTGGCCCAAGACTGGGAAGATCAGCAACGTGAATACATTCTCGCACTTAATGTGTTCAAAGTTATATGATAGTTTAAGATCGCCTATTTACAGTCCTGACTCAATCTACTGGCTCAAGCATCCTAGAAAACCTGAAATTATATTCAAGAGCGGCCGATTTCCCTATTAAAAACCAATCAAGGATCGTGCTGCGCCCTCTTTCTGCGCCGTGGCGCAGAACACCAGGGGGCGCCACCGGACGGGAAGGCAGCAGGGGAGGGCACACGACAGTCAATAGAGCAATTAATGCGAAGGTGCAAGCGAGCTGGGCAATAATGACGATAAAAATCTCTAGAGAAAGGGAACAAGGGGGACAAAGGACAAACACGAATCTCCAGACATAGCTAGGGGACTGGTGCGCGACCGAAAAAATCCTCCTGGTATCGAACCTGGGAGGGACTTCTCCATTTCCAGGGGCGCGCTCTACCAACTCAGCTAAACAGGAGTTAGACGCCAATAGAGCAAACGGGTTTTATCATCTGCCACCAGTCTAACAACAACAAGGGTGAACGGCCTGCATTTTAAGGTTATGATGATAAAGTGGTTAATGCAAAGGTGCAAGCGAGCTGGACAAGAAATAATCCCTCGAGAAGGGGAACTAGGGGGACAAAGCACAGACAGAAATCTCGAGACATACCTAGGTGACTGGTGCGCGACTAAAAAAATCCGCTTGGTCCTGGCATCGAACCAGGGACCTTGTTTTCCTTCTCCGGGGATGATTATCGTCAGTCGCGATTGGCTGACGCGTACTGTGCCCTGCTGCCTTCCCGTCCGGTGGCGCCCCCCGAGATTCTGCGCAGAAAGAGTGGCGCGGCGCGATCTTTGATTGGATTTTTAATAGGGAAATCGGCCGCGCTTAAAAGTAATTCCGTTTTTTTTTTTTTCTTTTAGGATGCTTAGAGCCCATAGTTTGAGTTATGACAATAATTTGACGATCTCAAACATCCCCTTTAACACACAGTATTGGTGACGCTTGATATTATAGGGATCAAAGAAAAACGGCATATAGATGTTCTATGTTGTCCTTGTAACTTAGCAGCATGCTCCGAATTGTCGAGTTGATATTACTCTTTTGTCAGGATTTATTTACGGTTATTTATGGTTAGACTGCACGTAGACTGTCAGTTTGTTAAATATTAGAAGTGTCCTATTTGTCTGACTTGAAGCTGCAATCCTGACAGTAGTGTATCTAAGTCGGCAGACCTGTACCCTACTGTACCTGCAAAAATCTCAGCAACACTTCCGCTGCAAAAAAAAAAAAAAAACAATTAATTACTTGGGAAGAACGCACTTAATTTGACAGGTTAATCTCCCGCTCGCTAGATTTCTTTTTGTTTGGTACGCGTTTACGCAAGAGGTTACGTAAACCTCTTTGGTTATTACGTCGCTTTGCAATGAGCGAACTTGGCAGCATTTTTTAAACCTTTTTCAAGCCGTATTTATTTTTTTTAATAATCAAGTTTTCCATACAGTGAACGACTAAGATGGCGTTGTGAAGGCTCGTGTAGAGTGACGCAAGAAACGCCAGAAGCAAAACGTCACAACTTCCTGCATCAGTTTCTTTTTTTCTTTTTTTTTGGGGGGGGGGGGGGGGGGGGTAACACATTTTAGAAGCTAAGAATCGTGCACACCACTCTGTTTTGTGACGCCAACTACGTCACTTTTCGTAGGCCGAGTGTGGAGTGCCAGGGGAAGGTCTCGACCGCTAAGCCCCTGCGACGATGCTTGCCAAATTGGCCGGGTACGCTACGTTTTTTTTGTTGTTTTTGTTTTAATTTATTTATTTATTTACGTGTCGTCATCCCCGCTCCGTTTGTCCAAAGCAGCGAAGAAAGGAACGGGGTTTAGGTTAAAACGATTTGACCAACTGAAGAGTAAGAAATAGGAAAAGACAATTAACGCACGGGACGAAGCGACGCGTTTTTAACGGACGCCAGGCAACCAATAAAAAAGAGCTAATAAAAAACGAGACACCCGAATGCTTGACGCGTTGTGGGCTACTACACCCCACTACACCCCGTTTCGCAAGTTCAAGCACAGCCGACACCGCGGTCCGGCGGAGCAAATCAAGTAGCGCTAAAAGTGCAATCGTCATGATAGCGCTCTCCGTCTTTTGGCATTGTTATCACCGGCCGACCTAATCGGACGCTGCCAATGCACCACCCTGATCCTGAGCATTATTTTCCGCGCGTTATTTGATTGGCCAGTGGACCAGCGCCGTGACGAAGCACTTTTCGCGCTGTTTGTTTGGCTCCGTGGCTCCATCTGGCTGTCTGACGGGGAGTAATAGTAGTTCGGAGGCGAGACAAGAATCTTCGGCTGCGTTCGGAATCTTACCCAAATGAATCCGAGTTACTCTGGCGGGTCGTGTAACGTGACGAAACAGATTGGAAGGCGCTGGACGCAGGTAAGTTTTGGAACGCCAAGGTACAAAACCTTTCTCCTGGAGTAAGATCAAGTAAATTTTGGACCACGGCCTTCGTTTTCGCTGCGTCCCCCGTCGTCAAGGCATGTCTTCAGTATGGGAGGAGGTCGAACAGTCACGCCTCTAGTGGTACGCTTCAACTGTGGGGACGACAAACCGTATTTTCTTGTTTGTTTTTGATCCAAAAATGTTGAAGATTCGAAGGAAGGAAGGCTGATAAAGCCTGAGAGATCACCACGAGCAGCGGCCGCCGAAACGGAAAAGGGGGAGCGGTAGACAACGGATGAGAGGACAGCCACGTGACTGGCGCCCCGCTGTGGCAAGACTTGGAAACACCCTTCTCCCGCGCGAACAAGTGTGTTTTGAGTCTTCGCCGCTGCAAAAGTTGTGCGCTGACGTCCAGGTTCCCCCAGAAATCGGTCTTTGGTGCCCGGTGCTACCAGATTCTCGCACTTCAAATCTGGGACCGGCCACTCTATGGCTCCGTCGTCGAGCTGCCAGGCCTTGCGAGCATAGAAAGGCTATCGCACTGGTCAGAGCGAAGCGCTAGTGCCCAGATCGTACTAGACGAGCTTCACTTTCTTTGTTATGCTGTGTTAGTTAGTGCCACTAAAAAAGCTACGCTTCACAGTAACGACACTTGCCCATATTCTGGCTTAAAATAATGGTCGCCAGTTATCTGAAGCTTTGTCTGAAATCTCAGGAAACGTTTTCCGTGCTCCCCAAACGTTTAAACAGTTCACGACAAAGCAAAGCAATATTACGCCAGCTTCCTAACAGCGAATCTAATGCTGAGGAAGTCGCACTTTTGAATCATGACGATCGGCAGTTGCGTCTGCTCATGACCAGGGAATGTGAAGAGAAGAAGGAAGACTGGTGTCAAATCAAATAATTGTTGTGCTGGTTTTGTGGCGGTGTTCTGTCCTTTTAGCTCCTTGTCTCTGGGTTTTAAAGCGCAGCTCTTAGGCGTCCGTTTCCGGCTTGAGCGGCGTCGCCGTCGGCGTAACCGCGGCGACGTTTCGGCACCGTGCCGAAACGTCCTCGTGACCCCCCTCAAAGAAATCACCTGACCCCCCCCCAAGGTCACCTGACCTCCTGAGGTCACGTTACCCCCCCTGAGGTGATGTGATCCCCGTGACCTCACGAAAGCCTCGTGGTCCCCATGGCGGAGTAGCAGGCAGGATGAGGAGGTGAGAGGAAGGGAGTAGGGGGTATACCCTTCCCTCAGTAACCTTCCATCCTCCTCCTCAAGAGCTGCGCTCCAATTCGGCGTTACCAGGAGTTGTAAACGGCTTTCATTTTTCTACTGTGATTCGTCACCTGCTTGCCTGCGTCTAGACTCCAATTTCTTTAACGGAGAACCGAAGGTCGATGTTTTCCTTTTCCAACGGAGGATTAACACACGGTGTCCAAAGTATTAGCGATTAGCGTTCGTCTCAGACAAGTTTCTAAAAATTGTTGGCTCTTCACGGCCAATACGGAAAAAACCAGAAAACGGACCATGATAATGACCTTGTAGTCTGTGCGCATCCATTCGCGTGTATTTTAGCCTTGAACTGCACCTTGACTCCTAATAAAGCCAAGTGTGGAAATGCCGGCTACTATCTTGGGACAATCATTATGGTGGGTGAGTGCGAGAAAGCAAAACAATTAAAAGTACCTTTTCTGCTTACGTGAAGCTGGTTCCGAGCATTGAATGTGGAACGCATAGATGAATGAAGCACGAAGTGTGGGACAGATCTCGGCCGCTGGAAGAGGCCAGCGATCGTCACATGTCTCCTTCTAGCCCGGATACCCCTGGAAACAAACCTACCAGTCAAGAGGAATCAAGCTTGGGACTGTTAACCTTTGGCAGTTGAGATTGATTTTATTTTCTGATATGCTCGAGAAAAGGGAGGTCAATGAATATCAAAGAGTGGTCAGGAAAGACGAGGAAAAACATGTTGAGTGTTTCAGCGTAGACAAAGCGAAGCTTGAGACACCCGATACTGCGGTCACTCCTTCTTGAACTCCTTGAGCTTGGAAATCTCTTCCTTGGTGGTGGCCTCGGCCTGCTGCTTGAGTTCGTTGGCGCCCGCGGTCACCCCCCAGTTGTCCGGCTGCGAAAAGGACGAAGAGAAGGGCCGACCCGTGGACGGCTTCAGGTTCTCCCAGTAGTTGCGGTACGCTCTGGAAATAAAGAAGAAAAAAATTCCACGTGTTCATGTTTACAAACATTGTTATAACGAATACGGGTCAGTTATCGGATACCTCGAATTCTCGGATACCTCGAATTCTAGGATACCTCGAATTATCGGATACCTCGAATTATCGGATACCTCGAATTATCGGATACCTCGAATTATCGAATGCAGCGAATTATCGAATGCAGCGAATTATCGAATGCAGCGAATTATCGAATGCAGCGAATTATCGAATGCAGCGCATTATCGAATGCTGTATTTTTTTACATGGCAAATGTTTGCCATGTAAAACTGCCAACGCATGCCATGCGTCAGCATTTATTTCCTTGGTACTTGCAGCCGTTTTTTTTTCGAATTGGTTTTGACTGAACTGGACTGGTTCGTGAGGCCGCGGCGCGGTGCTCGGTTCCTGCCACGCTTTTTCGCTCCCGTTCGTTCGCTCGTTCCGTTCACTTTCCCTCTTACAAGGAAAGGGTCTTCTGGCACGCTTCCAATGACGCACTGCTGGAGAGGGAGGAAGCTGTGGGGCTGCATTCAAAACCGACGCCCGCGAAAACAAACTGGCTCTCTGAACACAACTGTATGCGGGCCGTTGCGAGGTTTGAATCCCCATCCTTCCCCGAGTAAGAACCCCTGCGCTAAATGCTAACGGGTTTCGTCGAGAATCGGCGTAGCGACTGCAGCGATTCGTGCATCATTTTTTATGTGTCAAAGGTTTCAATGTCACGAATTTTCGTATACAGTAAATTTTGGGCTACAGCAATTTGTTATACGGCGAAATTTTTAATACGGCTAATTATCAAATATATTCAATTTCGGAATGTAGCCAATTATCAGATATTGACATAGACCATTTTCAAAAGTTCATCGAGCAACATTGGTGGTAGCTACCTCTTGGCCTCAAACACGGGAAGCAGAATCAACAGAACCGGCAGAAATATCAAGAGGACTCGGGCAGGGTTGTCCCCTATCACATCTACTTTTTATGACATACCCGAGTAGAAGAAAACGGAATCCCTGTGGTACATAGGAAAATTGATGATAGCTTGATTGGGATCTGTATTCTTTGGCAGCGAATGTAAACTCAGAATCTGTAGTAACCGAAACAGACTCCAATAAATTATATAATATATCTCTAGGCCTTATACACACACAGGTGTTATAAACAAGCATTTCCGTGGCAAGAATATACGTATAAAAAACTCAAGAAAACCTTGGATTTCATGAACGTTATATAAACGCATAAGGCAACCTACCGTATATACGCGTGCAATGGCCGCACTCGTCTAATAGCCGCACCCTTAACTTTAAACAAAAAAAAAGCCGAAAAATATATATTTAAAAATTTCCCATGTATAGGCTGCACCTACGATTTTAGAATTGTAGGTGCAGCCATCTTTTTTTATTTTTTTTTATGTACTGCCCGCAGATGCCGCCCACCCGGCTGCGGCAGCCAACAACATTGAGGCAATCTTTCCTGTCAGGACAACGGGTCATGATACCGGGATTTTATTTATTTTGTTTTTGAATTTGAAAATTTGGGAACACAGTAAAATAAATTCCAAATTCCAGTACATTCGGAATCTACCAAAAAATAAACTCCGATAAACCATAAATTTTCATTGAAAAATAAACTTCCAAAAACACCTTCCGAATGTTACGAGATACACTCCTCCGAAAGCACGAAATCCTACCAATAGGCTAGCTATAGGATAATAGCTCTGATGGCCACTTAACCAATGTGCGACCACGTGGCAGTCGGCATCCAGCACAACCGCACATGTCTCGTCGGACTCTCTCTTCCGTGACCGACGCGGTTCATTGACACGTCGCTTGTTGTAAATGAGGCAATGTGTCGCCACATTAACACTTGCTCGTGTTGTCCTGTACGGGGTTCTCTGATGCATGCTGAGTTAATAGATTAGGCAAATCAATATGGAAGCGGGAGAGCTCGCGACTCGCGACCCGGCCATCTAGGCCGGGTCGCCAGTTGGTCACGCTAAATGACCGGAGACGCTTGTCAGATGTGTAACCAAGAAACAGAATGTAAGAGAAAAAGAAAGAAAGGTAAACAAAAATAGAAGGCGTGTCCCCGAAAGAAAAAAAAATACGGCGTTATTTTTACTGCAAACAAACAAAAAAAAAAAAAAAAAACTACGCATCACGGCACGCTGTTTTTGTCCAAATATAACGCAGACAGTCCGGGACCGATCCTACAGTTTCAGAACTAACGGTTATCTTATTCAAAAGTTACAAGTACCTTTTCCTGAAACTTTCAATGGAAACGTGGGGCCCGTTGGGTCCTGTTCCCTGTTGCTGACGCCATTTATATCGATATGTTCGGGTGCATCGTCGGTCGGCATTTTCCCATTGAATATTTCAGAAAATTACTCGTAACTTTTGAGTCCAATAGCGGCAAGCTCTGAATCTTTGGCTCTCAACCCGAACCGCTTGCGCTACATATCTGTACGAAGACTGAACATTCGACCATACGTGGCTTATTTTTCTGATAAAAAAAAAGACACTACTCATCGTTTTATGGGACATCTTGTATGTCTATATAGACATACAGAAAATGTGGGTTTTATGATCGGTCCAGATAGCGAGGTGACGCCAGGTGGACAAGCACGACTGGAGGACCCCTGTTCAGGGCGTGTGAAAGGCGCGGCCTCCTACTGAAAAGACTTTGGAATGATCGAGCAGAAAGCGAAACGGGGAAAGAGAAAGAAAACAATGGTCATGTACAACGGAGACAGGAAATAGTTGGAGCAAAGAGCGCATCGTCCATCAGTACAGTACGACTGCCACGAGCTTTTAAATTCAGCGACGCCTTAAAGGGCCTCCTCAGCCATACCGAGGTTCTTCCCAAACAAAAAGCTACGACCATGTGTTTTGGGAAAGAGATAAAGGCAGTACTGTCTCTATTTTTAGTTAGCGCAAGATGGAAAGATTTTTACGTATAAGCACAACACTTTATGGACAGGTGGCTTGACTTCCCGGTTGGTACGGACCTCAAGCATGGCAGCTCGACTACCGGCAGAAGGCTGACACATACTTATGCACTGTACACGTCGGCTGTTCACTGTGAAAGATTCTGCTCGAAGCTTCAGAGTGGCAACTGAAGATTTAGCTATACGGGACCTAGCTTCCCGAGTTCTTCCTACCAACTTTGACCACCATTATGTTCTATTTGTGTGGCCAGGGTGAGCAGCGATTCAGGATAATGTTCCAAAGAATCTTTCGAGTTATTGAACGTTCAACACCAAACCCCATGTGGAAAAACGACCATAGGCTTACCGTGCGCGGACCCAGGGCTTGGTGTGCATGCGGAGGCCCTCTCCCCAGAGGTCGTGCTTCTCGGATCCCTTGGGCAGGGCTCCGCCTCGTTCGGGGGACAGTTCCTCGGCCATGGCGCGGACGTGGTACGGCTCGAAGCCGCAGCAGCCGCCGATGTAGCGCACTCCCATCTCGTAAGCTTCGCGGGCGTAGCGCTGGATGTCCCAGCGGGAACACACGCGAGGCTCTAGGGCTGCGGAGAGATGGCATCGCGTTTAGGTCGTCCAGGAGGATATCTTACTAAATCAACTAACATTGTACTTATTCAACTCAAACTTTAGTACAAAAAGGTGCTGAATTGCAGCTTGATGAAGGTCGCAGGCATCACATATTTTGTAACAGTAAAAATTTCTAATGCTGCGCACGATAATTTGGCGACACGTTAAGTTCTAAATTATCGATGTATATATGCTAGGTTTAAATTTACGTACAAATAAATTAAATACGTATGTTATACAACACCACTTGCTTCGTCCGGTGAACACTCGCCGATAAATGTCTACAAATCGGGTGCACGGAAATAAGTTCGTTTCTCTTCTGCATATTGGCCCTCTCTCTCTCTCTCTTCCTCCCCCCTCTCCCAATACGTCAGAATTTTTCCCCAGAAAAACAAGCAGGAAGGTTATGGCGCCTGGAACGTGTCTCCAACTGGTCTGTTTACCGCGTCCAAAAAAAGTAGTCCCTCGATTTCCGCCTGATGAATGAGTAATCTGCGAATTCCAACGCTAATACATTGTGCATAAATGCACCTTGAAGTCGGAGGACTAGCGGTTTCTCACCGAAGGGAAACTCTGGCAGGTCGATGAAGCCCTGTTTGCCCGCATCAGGGGTGTGGTACGCGAGGGGTTGGGCGATGAAATGAGCCTTGAGGCCCGCTTCCTTCACGGCGTCGATCATCAGTTTGACCGTCTCCAGAACCACGAAAGGGTCGAAGTGGCAGTTGATTCCAACAACATGGGCACCTGCGCATTGCAAGAAGAAAAAAAAATAAAAGAAGAGTTATATTGAACAGAAATAGTGTAGAACGTTAGTTGAGGAGTGTGCTTGAGGTTCTTGATAGCGTTACTTGTCGTGACAGTGTAATAACACATAAATCGTAACTATGCGTGGCTTGCACCGACCTCAGATCAGTGGCCATTGTGGTAAAATTGCCGCTCAGCGCTACCTTTTAGCGCACACTGAAGTTGTTTTAAATGCATTAGCATTTAATGCCTCGGTATGTGGCAGTCTTTCGCTGAACGCTCAGTCTTCTCCCAGCTGTAGCGCTAGTGTTTGTGACCAAGTGCCATAGTTGAAGACGTTACTTCTATCTTAATCAAAAGTCATTAGACATTATCGAAATTTTGCAGTGAGAAAAAAACTGCCTATTAGGCCTGCGAATGCACAGAGATGAGCGGTGTTGCATGCCGGGAACGGGTGATATTTCCTCCCAGGAAATTTTCAAAAATGGCGTATAGCTTTAGAACCATATAACGGCAAGTCCTTAAACATTGGCATCAAGTCTAAACCGCTAGCGCAACATAAGGACCGCACACTCAAGAAAAAAAGGGTGTCAAAAGGTGTATTCTTACTCCCTTTGTTCCATATAATACACTCCAAAACTTCAATTCGACGTACAGCGCCCTAGAGTCGAACAGACGGCCCGAAATATTACGAGGGGCTTGATAGCCGTGTGGTACAACTTATTAAAACAGCTAATGTACGTTTTGCTGACTACAGAAAAAATAATCGGGGTTTTCTTGGCCCTACTGTAAAAACTCGGTGTTTTCTTTATGTGGTCTTTGATACGTACCTTAGCTATTTAAAATGTTGTACCACATGGCTATCAAGCCCCTCGTGAAATTTCGGGCCGTCTGTTCGACTCTAGGGCGCTGTACGTCGAATTTAAATTTTGGGGTGTATTATATGGGCCAAAGGGTGTAACGGTACAACTTTTGACACCCTTTTTTTCTTGAGAGTGCGAGGCTGAGTGTTTGACAAAGCCCGTGGTTTATCTTTTGCTGTAACAAAAACTGCTCTTTCTTAAACCGAACGCCCAACGGTATGCGCTCTCTACATCGATGTACCGATCCAGTATGACGGGGACACCCACCGGCCTTGACCATGCGAACGGCGCACTGCCCCGCAGAGACGCCGTGCATGTCTCCCTCGGGACCTATACACAGGGAGGCCACTGTGGGAAGGCCCGTTTTCTTGCAGACCTCGATCGCCATTTCCATTTCTTCCACGTGCTCGAAGTACTGCGTTTTAAGGAAACACACGGGAGCGTTCAGAGTTGTCGGTAGGCACGCCCGCAAGCAGCCACGCTTCAACATCACAATCTGGCCACCTCGGGTGGAAAAAAACATTTTGTCGGGGAACCAGTCTGGAAACATTGGGGGCGCCTTGGTAATCCCGGCAATATCCCTCACTGCGTGGCGATGGTTAGGAAAATACAGAAGAAGAAGAGAAATCGGCTTAGAATGGGGGCGAGGGGATGAATCATACTTTTGGTTTCTAGGCTAGGAGGCGCAACGGCAAACTACAGCCTGTTATAAAGGGTACACAGCCATCCGCATCCAGATGGCAGCGCCCAGAAGCCGGACTTGCAATCGTGTATAACACGATTGCAAGTCCGGCTTCTGGGCGCTGCCATCTTGCTCGGCTGGGGAGCGCTTGGACGTCGTCGTAATCCCATTACGAAGCCTTGCCAGGGCGTTGTAATCGGATTATGGCCGCGCCCAAGAGCGCACCCCACTGAGCAAGATGGCGGCGCCCTGAGGCTGGACTTGCAAACGTGTATTCATACATCCAGGCTCGACTAGAGCCACTAAATGAGCTACGCTTAGAGTATCGACACTCCGTTCCCCGATTTTCTTGTGGGAGCCGCCATCTTGGTGCTTAGTTCAGAGCAGACGTCGTCACCATTCGAGAACACGACTTCCTTAGCTTTATATATACCTCGTTAGGAAGCTCAGGTGAGATCGTGTTATTCTGTCGCGAACCCTTTTAACATTTATGGAGGACGGTAAACCGTTTCCTGCGGTTTCAGATAAAGCTCAGATAACTGGCAACCATGATATTAAGCGCCAAGAAGGCTGAAGTGTCGCTTATACTCGGAAGCGTAGCATATTTTGTGGCTCCAGCCTCGATTATCAGGCGAGATCTACACACGCCGGTCACAAGATGGCGGCGCCCAGACAGAGATGATCGCTTGCGCTCTTCACTGCCATGTCAGGTCCAACGCAGAAATTAATCTGTATTTCAATGGAAGAGCCCGGCTTTAGACCTAATATGGAGGTCTGCTCAGATTGAGACGCAAAACGGCAAATGCTACACCTGGAACGGCAAGTCTGGCGGCCGGATATAACGTTTTAGGCGCTTCCAGGTATGTTTGAGCGCACGTCAAACCGATTAAGTTCAATCATTTACGTTCTGAGGCGTCTTCAGAGGCATGCTGGGGCTCCCCAGAAATGTTAGGAGTCTCAAAATTGCAGCAAAATCAGTTGAAATATCAGCCTGCAATACGCGATACTCCTGTACTGGCCCTTGAAGGGCTTGTGGTTTCATCTAAGCGTGTCATTGCTCACAATATTCAATATGTCAAAGCTCAGCAGAAGCGAATCGGCAGGTCTTAACTGATTTGCAGGTGTCGTGTCTTAAATAGCTCAGCGAGGAATACGCTGAAAGAGAGCCTCGCTGTTGGCCGTTGTGGCAGCGATATACATGGCATCAATATGCGAAAATGGGCTAGTCGATACAGTTTCAACAAAATTAAAGCACGTCTTAATCATACCTGATAAACTGAGATGCACGAAATGTGTTGCGAATGAGCTGGGCAGAGCATTCGCGTGTCAGTTGCACTTTGACGTCACGCGACATCAACACGTCAAGTTCGAGTGCCAAGTGACGTCGCGGTGCGACGAGACATCACAAAGTGACCCTGACGCGTGCGTCGGTTGAGAGTAACGCTTGAACGTAACGTTTTGCTTTTTAATAAAACTCAGCCCCCTAACACACTGCGGTAGTAAAATCTACAACACAATGTATGCGTGATGTCTCTCGTACACCTTCTTCTGGCGATTTTAGTTTTCCTACTACACGACTCCCAGATTCGCCACTCACCTCGCAGATAAGGAAGTCCATCTTGTTCGCGACAAAGACGTCGATCTGCTTTTTGAATTCAGCCTGGATCTCCTCTTTGGTGCATCCGCTCAGGTACGAGGGCGTCTGTGAGATGCCGCCGGCCACCAGCGCGTCTTGCTCAAGAGCAACTTCCCGAGCCAACTTGCAGGCGGCAGTGTTGATTTCGGCCCCCTGCACCCGGTTTCAAAGAACCATCAGCACCAAAACGACGCTGGGCCGACTTGCGTGGAACATCCTAGAATCGTGCCAATGAAATGGACTCGCTCGATCCTGCATTATGCTGCGAGTTTCGCTTCGTGAGGCTATGTAGGGCATACTATATTTTCCCATTGATCAAACAAGGCACCAGCTTTAACGAGTTCGCTATAACGAGTTCGCTATAACGAATTTCCTATAACGAGTTCGCTATAGCGTTTTTTTTATAACACGTTCGGCTGAAGGTTCAATCTAGCCTGACGTTCCAATTCGGCTAAGTGCTCAACTTGACTAGAATCTCCAACCCGAGCAGATGCTTCGGGTTGGCAAAATTTTTAGCTTTGTTGGAAGTCTTGGAAGTCTCAGTTTGGCTCAAACGTCTCGATTCGGTTGGAAGGTTAGAGTAATAGGAATTATTGGTTGAGGTATTCCCAATTTACTTGGGAGACTGATTTATGTCTGCATCATGATTTATCACTTCGATTGGAGATCTAAACATCATTCTCGCATATCTTAAAAACAGCAAATCAGTAAAAACTAAAAGTATGATGCATCCTACAAACGAGAACAACTTACAGAGAAGCTGCGGCCCGCCTCGTTTCCGCGGTTGATGAGTTTGTCGTCGCTGGCGTAGAATGTGAACGCCTGCATCACGTCCGCACCCGCTCGCAGGAATTCCCGGTGCAGCTGCCGCACTGTAACCAAAGCATTCATGTTCCGCATTAGAACACGATAAGGCCATTTCTAATTCATGAACACACCTATGCTCTTTTAAGCTATCGGCGGCGAGATGTTTCGTTGGTGCCCTCCCATGTTTCCTTCCTGTGACGTCACGACCAGGCACATTAGCTGCGTCCAACGTCACCAGAATACCTCTGAGGTGAGTAAGGTGGGGTACTCCCGTGAAAGGAGAACCCCACCTTACTTACCTCAGTTCGCCCCCCCGTGTTTGACGCGCCATCTATGTCTTCGTATTACAACTGTGCGTTCCATAGAGCAGAGCTCAAGCGCCATCTAGACGCCGTGATTCAAAACGTACTCATTGCATAGAAAACACTGCAGTTACCATAGCAGCCGTGTGGCGCGTCGATCGACGGGAGGCGAGTCGTGGTGGGTGAGGGGGGTACTGCTCGTGCCGGCAGCGTCCATGAGAGTTCCGTAACTGAGCGAATCTAATAACGTTGGCTGCGACTAATGAAAGGTACGGTACGGTGCTTGACACACGTCTCCGATCGGTGTGTGCATCTAGAATGGTCCCCAAGTGGGAACAAACGACGTCGACTGCGGCCGGCATGCCATGTTATTGGCCATCGCGACTTGGCGATTGTTCGTAGTAGATACGGCTAAAAGTACGAGCAAACGCGAGTTTTCGCTCTCGTCCCGGCCTTCCAACTCTCGGCTGCTGAAGATTCCGTGGACTCTCAAGACGGAGAGCGCGACCTGCAGCAGGACAGGCGTCTGCAACGTCCGCCTCTGCCGACATGTGCCACCGACAGGATCGCGGCAGACATCAACCTGACACTTGTAACTCCTAAGACGTCAACGGAAATCGAGGGATTTGAGGATGCGGTGAACACACCAGGCACCATAATAAAAAGTTGTCTTTGGTCACCTGCTTCGGGGTGTTCGACGCAGGCTTCGGGGGTCCATGGCCCCGCCTTGACGTAGCCTCTCTTCTCGAGGGCGAACACGAATCCTCCGTCTCCGAGGACCACGCCGCTGTCCAGGCGCTCCAGAAGGCCTTTGCCGGGCTGCGTCGACAGAACGGGAACAAAATTAGACAAAATAAACATGTTGCGAATGGGTTAGGTACTTCAGCCACCAAAGGGGCATATTTTGTGAAGCGTACACATCCGAAGTATATCTTGCACAACGTTTATGCATAAGGAGTAATTGGGAAGGGACGTTTGAAGTTGGTACGCAACATGCAAAACTTGTTTTCTGTTTCTTTTATTTATTTTATAAATTTCGACCCCTTAGACGATGAAATCGAAACCGCAAAAGTCAACGGGATAATGCTTTCGTAACTATCAAGCTTCTATCACCTCTGTAATGAGAATAAGGTAATTCAAAGAGAGCTATAGTTTGAATGTTTCTAGTCCTCAAAAAAACTAGTCCCGCGACTGAATGAACCCCCCTCCCCTTTTTTAAGTAATCAAATGAGGCTGCATGGAGGTAGGTAACAAAAGGAAAAGATAGAGGGCTAACGCCCATTTACCGTGAAGTACGAGACGGACGGCACGTTGTGGAGAAAAGCCAACACCTCCTAGAGAGCTTTCAAATCCTGCGCGTTACGTGACATGACGTCATGTCCCGGAGGCCTGCACGGGCGCTGATTGGACGCGAGTGCCGTATCAGCGTGTTCGCGTGGGACTCGTTTCCTATCATATTCCCCACACGAAGGCTGACGCGGCACACGCATCCAATCAGCGCCCGTGCAGGCCTCCCGGACGTGACGTCATGTCACGCGACGCGCAGGCTTTGAAAGTTGTGTAGGAGGTGTTGGAAGAGCCTAGTTTTGGGTACTGTGTGCCTGGATCACAAGGCGTTTCCAACTGTTCTATCAAGGTCACGGGGTGCGGTGAGGAGGTGACGAAGGCGTCGATCTTCTGCAAGTATCTCCGCTCGCTTTCACCCCCCCCCCCCCCCCCCCCCCTTTTTCCCCAGCCGCTCGACAACCCAACGTATGCACACGTTTCGGTGCAGGTGGCGACCGTCATTAAATTGCAAACACTCTCCATGGTTCGAGGTGCTCTTCCTACTTAAATTTATAGATTTGGTTATTTCAGGTTTAGTTCCGCAGCGCCAGTGACGGCATTGGGGGAGGGGCAAACAAGTAAACGACGCCACAACACATCAAAGGAAGCACGCGCTGCCTACAGCAAAACACAGATCTCGAAAATCAGGGAACACTGAAACACGTGCTTATGCGCTAAATAATTATAAAAGAAAAAGATCACAGAATAGAATATACAGTATATGGAGTGTTAAAAAACGATACAAAATTTAAACAATTTGCGAGATCTCTCTTTTTTTTTTTGCTAGACTATATGTGTTACTCATTCCAGCTCAGAGTGGTGTACAAAGAAAGGAAAGTTTAAAATTAAGAAGGCCTGACTTTTTTAAATAATACTTTTCGCGAAAAATGAAGTGATGTAGAGCTAAGTAATTCATTTTATCTATACCGCATTCTTCGTAGAAAATAGTGTAAAAGTTTTAGGCGGAGGCCTAAAACTTTTACACACCATTCACCTAATCGATTTATGACACCTAATGTCATAATTAGGTGAACGTCTAATGTCACGACATTAGGTGTTCACCTAATGTCATGCCATTAGGTGAACGGAGAATGCAGTACAGTGCATTCTGGCAAAGTAGCACCAAGCTCCCTGTATGGCCGCCATTTTGGCCCAAGAAATGAGCAGTTCCTCCAGGAAGCCTTCAAACTTCCCGTTGACAGGCTGCTTTATAAAGACATTTCCTGAATCCTGAGATTTCGTTATCCACGCACCGGCCAAACAAAGGCACCACTTTGCACAGCCACCACATGCGGCGGCGTCGAAAAATACTTTTCCTGCCTTTAAATACGCAAGAACGACAATACCAGGGTAAAGCCGGGCTCACACTGCTCATGCATCATACAAAAAACAGTCTGCAAACACGAGTCACCGCAATATACGAGGTTCGAATGCCGCGTGCCAAGTTTTCTTCTCGAACTGATTGCCATGTGGCATTCGAATTCGCACATATCTCTCAGTGACTCGCGTTCAAATCTATATGCGGGCTGCTTTCTTTTATTTTTTTTCGGTACTATGTATAGGCAGCGTAAACGCGGCTTAGGAGAACTGTGGAAATAAGCACGATTAATAAGTGGATTGCATGCAGAGTGCCACAAACTCTTATATTGGCGAGGGACGCTCTCAGTGCGATGACACACTGTAGTGACCTTGACGCGATCTTGGTGCAGAACGACCCTTTCGAAGCTACGAAGATTTCAAACGGACCAAAATGGCGATTGTCATGACAACTGAGACAGACCAGCCAATAATCTTGCGTGGTTTGGTCGTTTGTATGTTAGTAGCATTTGTTTGTGTCAGGTTAGCAGGCAGGGCAGGTAATGGCGCTAGTTTCCCCGGCTCCCGTAACTTAACGTTCACCCAGTGCGGATGGCGATCGCCGGACCAATCAACCGCTTCCCTTCAATCACGTGACCCGCTCTGGTTTCTGCGCATGCGCAGCGCCCACGCCCGGTGTCGGCAAACACGGACTCGCTTGCAGACAGCGTGGCGAAGCGTCGCCATTATGAGCATGCCTGACGCCGGTCGCCCCCTCCCCACCCACGTGCGGATAATTGACACCGGATCCGAAGGCCCCGTTGACTCGGGGGAGCACGAGGGCTCAAGGACGAATTGAGGAGCAATTACGAACGATTACGCGGGGTCGATGCACCCTGGTACGCTTCCTGCAGGACCCCAAAAACACCATGCGCGAAGAAGGACCCACGCGAGTATGTTCCGTCGGATGATGATGTTGGTTAGAATCTTTACAATTATAAAAGCTGTACGTCTTTTTTTTTTTTCAGCGAAGGGTGCTTATAGCGGCTAGACAGACGCTATAGTTGCGCATGTGCAGCCCTCGAACAGATAAATGTGCTGTACTCAGCAAAAGTGCCTGTAGCCGATCATCTGCTAAAATCTTCGTGCTGCCGAGCAAATTAACAAAAAAAGTAAAACCAGAACATCTTGCGCAAAGTTCATACGCTGTGCCAAGTAGTTCTCACACAGTTTAGCTGTCGGACAAAAAAAATAATGTAATTTGAAACGGTATGGTTTGATGAATTAGCCAAATTACTTATGTTAATCTCAGTAGCACTCTACGAGGAGTCAGACTTTCATTTTTTATGGTTCTCGAGATGGAAACGAGTATTGTTTGTACACTACACGCACACTTTGCGATGAAAAAAGACGCTACTTCGCATGGACCTCGCATTTCGTTAACAGAAATTTTTATGCGGAAACGAAATGACGTGAGCGCGAGCTCTCTACCCCTCGCTTCAAAATCGGCCAGCGAGAAGCGCAATGCGTATCGCGCTCGTGACGTCAATTGCCTCTGCACGGCCAAGGGTACTGTAGTTGCGAGCCGTGCCACTTGGTGGCGTCAACGCGTGGTGCCACGAGCGTTCGCTTCACCGCGTATTAGTTTCACACCGCAGAAGTAGTAGCTCGAGGGAACCAGTAAGTAGAAATAACCGTTATCACCCAGCAATGGAGACACCTGCAAGTAAGGTATTCACCGGGCGCCATATTTGAGCGCGCTATTCACAGTGCATCGGGGGGGGGGGGGGGGGGGGGGGGGGGGGGCAAGCACAGGTTTCCCGCATCCTCAGATCAAGCTCCTACCTAACGTCTGCAAAGAACGGCGGTCTTGATGGTGTGGGATGCACGTTGCGGAAGCACCGTGGAGCTGAGAATGCAGCCAATGCCACATCCACAAGAGCTCGCACTCCGCCAAGTCACATTTAGGACTAAGTAACTCCAGGAGCGAGCACTGCCGCGGCGCTCCTTCGAAACTCATGACGTGATAGACCGCCACCAAACGTAATTTTGAAGTCTGTTACTTCGTTTTAAAATTAGTTTTCTTGACTTTTTTTGCTTGCAGCCCAGAAACGCTTGTCTACGCTAGTGTTTCTGGGCTGCCGGCAACAAAGAGAAGAGTGCAAACATTTCGTGTCCGTACCCCTTTAAAGTCGACATGGTTCTGCGTAATAGACTCTTTTCACTCTGATCACGAATGAGGAATGCTCACTAATCTTTTGATTTAAGCGGTGACTTTGTAGCTTGCTCCCGAACTATAATTTTTGCAAAACTTTTATGAAAAGTTTTCGTGTAAGCTTCAGCCGTGAGCTCATATGAGTCATATCCTTTGAATAAATGCTCCTCAGTGGGTAAACAAGATCCGAGTTCGCGATTGCAGACTCATTTCGTTGCAGTTTGCGTTTAGGCTAGCCCAAATATTGTTACGAATGCGACGTGATGATCTATATTTGTTTATTTGCGTAATTAACAATCGGGTTCATGTTCAAACCATTATTTTCTCAATTGTATTAAAATTAGAAACACGAAAACACTTTGTCGAAGTGTTTTGTTTGTTTGTTTGTTTGTGTGTTTGTTTGTTTGCTTGCTTGTTTTCCCAAAGAAATTGAACGGACAAATACCTTTCAAATCTCGTGCATTCTCTCGTTGCGCTTCTATACTTGGTATTACATTAAAAACCATAATAAAAAGAAAAGTCTGGCTCTTTGCGGAGTGTTACTAATCAGCCCTTTATGTGGAGAATTAAGGTATATTAGGTGTATTTTAGATTAAACATAGGTCATCTTACAACGGCATACACGTTTCAAACGCCAAAATCGTCGCTTCTTCCTCCGAGAAGCAAATATTGTAAGAACTACTTCGCGCGGGGTATGAACATCTGGCACATCTACCACCGCCAGGATCGCAGCAGCAGCAGTGTCACACTTTTGTGACGTCATCGGGAGGAAATCGAGGAACTACTTTTGAAGGCGCGATCAACACACCGGCCGGAAACGCGTTCCAGGTACAATAGTCAAGCGGCACCTCATTTTTAATAAAAACGTAGAGCGCGTTATCGTTGTTCTTTTTACTACAATGTAATAATGACAAGAAGACTATATCCAGTGGCCACCAACATTAAACGTATTCAACAACACTGTCACCAAAGGTGTGGCCAA